CAAGAAGCTAGTCTCCAAAACACCAAGCAATCCAATTAAAAAGTAGTGGACAGAACTAAATAGACAATTCTCAACAGAGGAATCTAAAATGGCTGAAAGGAACATAAAAAAGTGTTCAACATCCTTAGCCATCAGGGAAATGCAAATCAAAACAACTCTGAGATACCATCTTACTCCTGTTAGAATGGCTAAAATCAAAAACACCAATACTAGTTTATTCTGGGGAGAATGTGGAGAAAGGGTGGGAGTGCCAACTTGTACAGCCACTTTGGAAATCAGTATGGTGACTCTTCAGGAAAATCAGAATCAGTGTCCCTCAAGATCCAGCAATCCCACTCTTAGACATATACCCAATAGAGGGATATTCATACAAGGACAACTGTTCAACGATGTTCATACCAGCACTATTTGTAATAGCCAGAACCTGGGAGCATCCTAGATGCCCCTCAACTGAAGAATGAATAGAGAAATTGTGATACATTAACACAATGGAGTACTACTCAGCAGAAAAAAAAACAATGGAATCTTGAAATTTGCAGGAAAATGGATGGTACTAGAAGAAACCATTCTGAGTGAGGTAACCCAATCACATAAAGACAAATGTGGTATGTACCCACTCATATGTGGATTCTAGACATAGAGTAAAGGATTACCAGCCTACAATCCACACTGCCAGAGAAGCTAGGAAACAAGGAGGACCCTAAGAGAGACACACATGGTCCCCTGGAGGAGGCAAAATGGACATGATCTCCTCAGCAAATTTGGAGTAAGGGAGGAGGGAGGAGGGAACTAGGAGAATGAGAAGGCGAAAAGAGGAGGGGTGAAGAGGACGTAAGGGAGCAGAAAGGTTGAGTCGGGGGGGGGGGGGGAAAAGAAAAAAAAAAAAAAGGAAGAACAAAAAAAAGGGGGAAGTCTGGAGATCTACAAAGATGACACCAACTAACAATCTAAGCAACAGAGGAGAGGATACCTTAAATGCCCTCCTCTAATAATGAGATTGATGACTGACTTATATGCCATCCTATGCCTTCATCTAGCAGCTGGTGGAAGTAGAAGCAGACACCCACAACTAATCACTGAACTGAACTGGAATCCAGTTTCAGAGAAGGACGAGTGAAGAGCAAAGGGGTCCAGACCAGGCTGGTGAAACCCACAGAAACATTCACTTTTTCCAGGCTCTACTTGGGACATGTCTATAACACTCTATTTCCTAGAGGCTAAGAGATCATCAGTGAGGAAGAGGAAGGAGTGTACAAGCCAGAAGTTCAAGACTGAAGTAAAGAAGTGTTAAAAAGTCAGGAGAGGGAAATTCTACACATGGATTCCCAATTGGTAATTGATAGTTACTGCCGAATAGACTGACATTTCTCCAGGGATGTAACTTCTGAATTGTTAGAAGTGATACTGTAGATGACCCTAGAGGCACACACATGGTGAAGTGGACCCAAAACTTAAATACAGGATACATAATTTTATATGGGAAAAAGTAGGTTGATATGGGATTATTTGGAGGGGAGGAAACAGAGGTGGTATGTGATGAAAACATATTCTATGCATGTATAAATATTAAATAACCTAATAAGCACAATATAAACAAAACAGAAAAGAATGGTGTAATAAATGCATATTATAAAAATTAAGAATAATGCAATGACATTGTTGAAAATTAAAAATATAAAAAGATAAACAAAACGATGCAGTCTGGATTAGGGACTGAAGTAAATTATCCCAGGTCCTTTGAAGAAGCACTAAGTAAGCTTTAACCGCTGGGACATCTCTGCATTACACTAACCGAATTTTTTAAGCTAAAAATCAACCACTGTTTAATTGCTTTTTCATTTCATTTGAATTGATCTTTGAAGGAGAAATTAAGCAGCAGCTAAGATGCAGGTAGATTGTATCCATGATAAGATTCACTCTTAGAAATGTAATAACTGTCTTTCAGCCAAAGTCAGATATTAAAATTCAATATAATAAGGGTGTTATAGCTGCCATGTCATGTAAGTGTGGGGTAACTCTTACTTTCAGTCACACTGTTTTTTCCTGTACTGTGGCTATAATTACACCATAAGAATATTGTGATGTGGGGCATGAAAGAACAATTTCTCTTCTACAATGTTCTGCCTTACTAAAGGATGCTGTAAAACTCCTTGCTGGAAAAACTCCCCTAGACTTGCTAATCTCAGGGTCTATAACAAATCCTGTAGTCCTGCATTTTCAGGCCATCTCAGCATTCACATCATAAACCCCCAGTTATTATGGAGGCAACTCATTCACAGAAAGATGGCCATACCAAAAATCCCCTCACAGACACTCAATATGCAAGTTGTCTATCTTCACTTGCATGCTTCTACAAAGAGAAAGAACCAGGTAATCATTGTCTTAGCAAGAAGACACAAAGCCACACATGATCTGGAAAAGAATGGCCAATGTGTTTGTCCCTGTGGATGCTGTGTTCTTGGGTAATACAGCTTCAGTTGCAAGCTTTTCTTACCACAGCGATGGCTATGCAATCACTCTACCCAAAATCATCATTGGGACTATCATGTCTAACATTTGGTCAAATTTTTGTTTTGTTAAAATTTCCAGGGTGTCTTAGTTGGGGTTTCTAATACTGTGAAGAGACTTCATGACCATGGCAACTCTTATAAGTAAAACATTTAATTGTTGGCTTAGAGGTCAAAACTTTAGTCCCTGGTGGGTGGTGTTGTCATGGTGGAAAAAACCAACATGCATGAAAGACCCTGCCTGCCCCTGTTATTCCTGGAGAGGCCAGAGACTCACAGTCTGAAAAGTATCCTCTTAAGGGACTCTAACAAGAACTTTTATTTGCTTTTTGAAGAATACAGACTAAAAACAGCCTTGAATATTTCTTGGCTCCACTCAGCTGCATACATCCTGCCCTCACAGGTAAGATGATAATTGCAGGTCTGAGGGGAGGGGAGGTCATGGAATCACAGTGCCATATGTCAGGCACTGACTGCCACCTAGTAGCATATGTAATAGGCAGAGAGACTATGAAAGTGGGAATCAGTATCCCAGAAAAGATTTAGTAAGGGAAATCCTGCACTAAGAATGTGGGTAAGTGACTCTATCAAAAGGGGAATGGGATTGAACCTGTGTATATCTAAATGCTATCAAAGAGGGAGAGACACTCCTGAGGAATAGAGGCAGCCAGAAAAGAGACATGGGGTTCTGGACACTTCACTGTGGAATTCGGCAATTATTTAATCTATTCTACGGTAAAAGGATTCATGCAGTAAAGTAAACTGTCATTTAAGGTGATCTTCCATACCTAATAAAAGGATTTTATCTTTCAATTATAATGTATTTGTGGTAGCAGACCAGAGGATGGTGAATGTGGCTAATAATCTTTGTTGTTTACTGAACTATGAAAGTCTATATTTTGTTGATCTTAGTCTTCATATGCACAGTGGTAGCTGTGGGTGCTGACTGATATATGACTAAATGTGAATGCAGTGATTACAGTATAACATTCACATATCCCAAACAATCCCATTGTACCCTTGTTATAGGAAGTATTTGCTAATCAAATGTTTTAAATTATACTAAAGAAAATTCAATAAATCAAAGGATATATAGAAACACAATATTATATTAACAATTCTTTATTTAATTAGCATTATAAGAATTGGTGTCCTGAGTGTCCCTGACACTTTTATACTTGGGAAAAGAACTAGCATTAATTTCTAAGACTAATGGCATTATTCATTTTAATGACTGTCTATATGTAGTGGAAAGATGTTTTTACATAAATTTCAGTAAAACAAAATACATACAGAAAATATTTGAGTCTCTTCTACAAATTTGAATAGTATTGAGTTCCTTGTGTCATTTTGTCTATAAAGGTAGATAAGAACAGTTATGGAAATGCTGTGTATCTGATATTAGCTGTTAGAGGTGTATTCCATATTCAGTTTTCAGTATATTGAAATCATGTGAAATAATTAAACCACCAGGTGTAATAATTTGAAAGCAGTGAGTCTGGATATAGAGAAGGGGATGTGGAAGCCTTTTTGACATCCTAGAGTCTCATCTGTGAATTGGAATTGATCCTAGGCAACAGTCTAATAAAACCCACATTTAGCTCTTCCCAATTTAAAAAAATTCATTTTCCACAGGACAGTATTTCAGGTACAACTTATATATTAAAATTTGCTCCACTCTTAAATCAATAGCTAATATTTGTATATTCTGCAGGTATTCATCGGGATTTATGTGTGTGATCTGAGACAGATGATTCATTGTTTCTATTACACACAATATGTTAAACTGTATTCGTGTTTACTGTCCAAAATACAAGATATTGTTTTCAACCACTCTGTGACAAATTACACCTATATCTCACATGAAGCCAGGAGAGGCTGTCTGAAACCTTACAGATATAGAGGCATTGTATCAAGGTTGGACATGATTAACTCTGGGGCAATTACTATCACATTATAATGTCTGTTGGTTGCTAGAGATATTCACTCATTATTTACATTGACCTTCAAAATAGAATGTTACATTCATGTATACACATTATGCAAAGAGATTTAAAAGCAGCAGCATTGTACAATAAGCAGCTGTGTATAAGCACAAAGAAAACATTGCACTGCTTTGTTTGAAAAAGCCACCTAAGCAGCAGTCAGGGAGGTGCACCATAATTTTGCATGTTTTCTTAATTGACACTCACCCAGGTTGTTGTACCTATAGTCAGAGCATGAGTTTGCAAATCGATAGCCCATCTCTGTCAAAGCAAATTTCCCTAGGCTTGATAAAGTCACTTTGTGCTCTGCTCCTACACTGAAGATTGCAAGAGTTATCAAGCCTGCTGTCCCTAACTCAGCTCGGTGTGAAGAATGCATGCTTTAAAACACACAAAACACCTTAGAACCTTCCCATTGTTACAAATGTTCAGTGTTTCTGGTGTAGCTATTATGAATGCAAATGTGGAATTTTGTTGGGACAGAAACTCAGACCACCCTGATATTCCTCTACATGACCCTCAGGTTCCGAAATCAGGAATTGACAGGATGACAGGCAGGAATCTGGCCGTAGGACTGATCTTCTTATCACAGACTACATTTGGACTTCTGGGTAATTCTTCTGTCTTCTACAATTACATACTGCTTTACTTCACAAGGTACAAGCTGAATTCCACTGACTGGATTCTGAACTATTTGGTTTTAGCCAACTTCTTAACTCTTCTGTGTAAAGGAGTGCCGCAGACCATGGCAGCTTTTGGGCTGAACACTTTCATAACTGATTTTGGATGCAAGCTCCTCTTCTACCTTCACAAAATAGGCAGGGGTACATGTATTTGCAGCAGCAGCTTCATGAGTGTCTTCCAGGCCATCACCATCAGCTGCAGGGACTCCAGAGGGGCAGAGTTTAAAAACCGAACATTCAAGCACAATGGCCTCTTCCTATGCTTTTGTTGCATTCTGAACATCCTCATGAGTATATATAATCTCCTCTACATGACTCAAAATTTGGGATATAGAAACATGACAAGCATTCAAAACTTTGGCTACTGCCCTCTTTATCTTGACAAAACCGGCCAAATGCTGCATGCTGTGTTCCTGCCCCTCCCTGATGCTGTGTGGGTGGGCCTCATGGTATGGGCCAGCATATTCACTGTTCTCAACTTGTACAGGCACAAGCAAAGAGTGCAACGTATGCCAAGGACCAAAAATTCCCCAAAATCTTCCATTGAGTCAAAGGCTATTAAAACCATCCTTCTTCAGTCAAGTACATTTGTTTTCTTTTATATAATTGCCTGTCTTATTCAACTGGTTCTGGTGTTCTTTCATAATCCTAGTTGGTTTCTGGTAAACACATCTATAGTCATCTCTGGGTGTTTCCCCACTGTGAGTCCCTTTCTTCTCATGACCCACTATTCCATAGCATCTAGTAAGTGTGTTCCCAGGAAGAGAAATTTATGAGAACCTGATAATGATTAAAAACAAGAAACAAAAGACTCTGCATGGTTCTTGATTAAACCCTCATACATCAGAATGGTAAGTGCACTGTGGACAATCATCACACAAGAACACTGGTTTGTGTTGTAATATGTGTATATGGTTTTATGCATCTGTATTTAGGCACGTGCATAAAAATGCCTAGTCAGATTGAGTTTTCCCTATATCCAGCAATGTAATTGTTGAGTTGCTAGTGAGATTTTGTAATCTACAAAGGCTCCATAAAAACATGAATGCAAATTTTAGATTTCTGGAAAAAATCTTAATGTAGCCCTAATTAATGGATTATTAAACTAGCTATAGTCATATTTTCTTGATATGTTTGGCAATTACCTTGTTAAATAAAATTTACTTCACCTTTATCTGTTTCTATTCTTGTGTCAGTATCTATATTTCCCTTTAGCCAAATGTTATCAAACAGTATCTGACAGCAGCAACTGAAAAGGTTCACATTTCATAAATCAATGGAAGCTGACATAAAACTTATGACCTGATGTCTGGCTTTGACATTTCTTCAAACTCCTCTATTTATTTTTATTATTTTAATGCCCCTTGGTAATCCCCCATTGTGTGATTCCAAAACTTATTCTGAAAGCCAAATTGTGTACTTCACTCTCTGACCCAAATACTCTGATGATACATGACATAATTGTTTGTCATTTCTAACAGCTTTGGTTTGAACACCAATGTGTATCGTGAGAATACTTTTATTATCAGACATTCATTGTTCAGTCAATTACCCAAATTAAATGATCTGGATGCAGAGTCAACTTGTAAGGATAATATATTCTATTGCAAACATTTCCCCTGATACTTCAACTGTAACTAACAATGGTTGGTGACATGTGACTTTTCAGGGCACAGACCACTACAACTGTTTCTTATTGTTGTAGAATACATCTGCATGAATTACTTTAACTTTACAATTATAATTCCGTGTTTTGCTCCCTTACTTGGGGCAGCTCCCAGAAGCACAGGGCTCAAAGGAAATTGAAGGAGTTGGCATGTACTAGACTTTTTCAGCAAAAGGGGTTAAGAAAATAAGTGCTCACATGCTCTGTTTTTTCTGTTTGTTTTTTAATTAATTTGTTTTTTTCATTCCTATCCCAAACTATTCCCCTCCTCCCATGTACCCCGTAGAGGGCATAAGGCCTCACGTAGGAAGTCTACTAAGTCTGTCCCATCATCTATTTGAGGAAGGACCAAGGAATCTCTCCCCGCCCACATGGGCATGGCATCTCCCCATATACAATAGGTTCCACTAAGTCAGTTTGTACATTAGTGTTAGGTCTTGAACCCACTGCCAGTGGCCTCATATCTTGTCCCAGTCACACCAATGTCACCTATACTAAGGGGTCTAGTTTGGCCTTATGAAGATTCCCCATTTGTCAGACCTGAGTCAGTGACCTCTCAGTAGCTTGGACCAGCTGATTCTGTGATTTTCCCCATCATGGTCTTGACTCCTTTGTTCATATTATTGCTCCTCCCTCAATTTGATTGTACTTCAGGAAATTTGCCCATTGGTTAGTTGTGGATTTCTGCATCTGCTTCCATCTATTTATGGAAGAGGGTTCCAGCTTCTCTGGGGTTATGGATTGTAGGCTGGGTAACTTTTGCTTTATTTCTGGTATCCAATTATGAATGAGTACATACTATATTTATCTTTCTCATTTTCAGTTACCTCACTTAGTATTTTTTTCAGTTCTCCCAATTTGCCTATGAATTTTAGGATGTCAACATTTCTTGCAGATGAGTAGTATGCCATTGTGTAAATATACTACATTTTCTTTACGCATTCTACAGTTGAGGAGCATCTAGGCTGTTTCAAAGATCCAGCTGTTAAAAATAATGTTGCTGTGAGCATAGTTGAGCCAATATCCTTGTGGTGTCAATATGCCTGCTTTGGCTTTATGCCCAACAGTGGTATTGCAGGGTCTTAAGTTAAACTAACCCCTAATTTTCTGATAAATCATCATATTGATTTCCACAGTGGCTGTACATTCCCACCAGTTTGCATTCCCACCAGCAATTGAAGAGTGTTCCCTCTTTCTCCACATCCTCTCCAGCATAAGCTGTCTTTGGTGTTATTTTTTATTTTAGCCATTCTGATCACGGTAAGATAGATTCTCAGAGTGCTTTTGATTTCCATTTCCCTGATGACTAAGGATGTTAAGCATTTCCTTTAGTGTCTTTCTGCTATTTGAGATTGTTCTGTTGAGAATTCTGTATGTAGATTTGTACCCCATTTTTGAATTGGATTATTTGGTAGTTTGATTTCTAGTTTCTTGCATACATATATATATATATATATATATATATATATATATATATATATCCTACTCACCCTGCATAATATTACTTGTATGAATGGTTTCTTGACTGACCATTTGGCATGGGACAAACAATTGGTATGTTCTTTCCACTCCAGGAGATCACCTCTTCTCTTCCCAGCTTTCCTCAGTTGCCTATAGTTCTTTGTGTAGGGTTGAAGCTTCCTGGGCTTTCTCCCATCCAATTTGGCACACCCATTGGTATCATTCTTTTCAGGTCATTTATATCAGCACCATTTGTTGAATATATTTTCTTTTTTCCATTTCATAATTTTAGCTTCTTTGTCAAAATTTAAGTGTTCATATGTGAGTGGGTTGATATTGGGGTCTTTGATTTGATTCCATTGGTCCACCTGTATGTTTTTATGCCAATATCACGCTGTTGATTACTATAGCTCTATAGTTGCCCTTATACAGCACAGGTATAGTTGGCTAGGTAATGGGAGCCTCTAGATTCCTGTCTATCTCAGAACTGGTACCCTGAAAATTCCACCATGACCTTGCGGCCCCAGACACTGGCCCTTCACCCTCTTCCCTTACCCTGCCTATCCAACCCCCTCCTATGGGGCCAGGACACATGTTCCATTCAGTGGCCCACATTGCTCTCATTCCTCCCCCATTCACCTCTTCCCTTTTCCTTCCCCTCTGGGACAAATGTCCAGTAACAATTTCCTCTTCTTTACCCAACTTCCTTTCTTTTCCCTTCTCACTCCTGGGCTTCCTTTTCTTTCCATGGCATCTCCTTGTCCCCCTATACACATTGGCCTATACTTGATCTAGCCTCCCCAATGAGAGCCATGCTCCTAGCCACCCATTTCATTTCTCAATCATCATCAGATATTGGAAAGAAATTTAAAACACTGAGGATAGGTCCCCAAACTCCCATATAGGTTTTGGTTAAATTGGCTTTTAAAGTTTTCATTGCCCAAGAGAAGCAGCCAAGTACTCCAAACAGATGAGGTTATAACCAGAGGTCCATGCTCTAAGAGTTAGCAGCTGCCCCAAGGCCACAAGGGGTACAAGGAAAGTTGACTACAACAAGTCTCCTTCCTATTGGAGATGAACCCAAGTAATATCCTTCAGGACCCTGCTACAAATTCGGGCAGGATGGTCATTCAGCAAGATATTGCCTGGACCCTCAGCCATTCACATGGACACTGCAATTCATAATGCTCCCATATGGGCTCATCCTCTATGCCACACCATGGAGGCTTAGCCTCACCAACACTGGCTGCTGAAACTGTGCCAGCTTTCAAACTTCTTAGCCTGGTGGAAGACTGATGTAGCCTAGACTTGGTGACTCCCATTGCCTTCTGTGAGCCTAGGGTGACACTGCAGGTGGCAGGTTAGTCTATTAGTTTTCTTTTGGACATGGAAGCTACCTATCCACTTTGACCTCTAACTTGGGTTCAACAGTTCCCTCTCCAATTTCTGTTATGGGGATGGAAGGGACCCCATTCTTCCATTTCAGTAAAACCTGGGACTGCTATAGCCAAAAAAGTTTTCTCACTTATGCTCATCTGCTTATCCCTTAGATATGATAACATTTGATTACTTGGGTTCTGATAGCTCATTAATTCATTAAATTGCCTGCTAAAAGTACAGACAGGTGTGCCTCTTTTATAAGCTTCATAGTCAGGATTAACAGGCTTCAGCTGTAACTAGAGAGGGACAGAATTTTAAATTTTCTCTGGTTGTTTTCTAAAAACGTCCATGCCTTTTAACCTAAAGCCATAGTCTTTTGCTATGACACCAAGATGAAATCTCGTTCCAGCTGTCTTACAGATACCTGCAATTTCCTGTGGAAAATTCTCCTTCTCTATCTAGACATCTGGTCTGATGAAAACAGTCTCCAAAACCCATTTTTACCCCAACCAATATCATGCAGGTTCACTTCTCCTGCCTATGCCAAGGCCACCCCATAGAGTATCCTCCAGATATTGCCAAAACCTGCATCAGCTCTCTATAGGCTCAAGAGGGTACCTCTTCAGGATACTTGGTCTGTCCAACAGCTGTGACCCTCCATCCTCCGGTTTTCCAAGATCTCCCAATGTAGGACATGTCTATTCTCCTGTCTCACTCATTCACCCTTGCTTATTCTGTCCTACCAGGATAATTCTCCATTCCCTACATTCTGTCAGTTATCACCCTTCCCATGGTTAGTCCCATTCATAGGGTTAATGATAACAATCTATTTTTCTTCTAACAACCTACCTTCTCTGCCACCTCAAGGAACATTTCTGGGATCTACAGGAAGGCAGCTAACATAATCCTTCTTCACTCATACCACCAAGCTTGAACCCATGAACTCCTGACTCCACCTCTCCCATGTCATCCCTTGGCAGCAGGAAGAAGCCAGGCATGAACCAGGGTCCATATACTCAAAGAGTCTGTAAAGTTATGGGAGAAGTTCCACCCAAGCCCCCTCACCTATCTCTCTCCAAACACTGCTGCATCTCAGCATGTCCAACAAATGATTACCCCTCACCCAGAGAAACTCAAGACCACTCCCACGTGGTATTTAAACTGTCTCCAGAAAACAGATTTGTGGTTTTTCCAGTCTCTCTTTTCTATCTCCTCATTGGGGGACTGGAAGACCACCCAGAATCACTTTATCCATTAAATGTGGACTTT